CAGAAGTCCACAGTTTAATATAGAAGAAATGATAGTCTAAGTGTATTTTTAATCACCTTATCTTAACTCTTAGCTTAGTGTTTTTAGTGTCATGAATACTGAAATCCTATGAAATGAAATTGAGATTTTGTATTCAGATTTTAAAATACTGCCATATATTGTAAATATATATATATATATGAAGCAAATTAATTATTTTCTATTGCTTGTCTGTTATAGGCTGCCTTACTGGCTCTTCAAGAAAATGGACTAGAAGCGACCACAGTGAAGCAGGAGCACTTTCTCAGATCACTTAAGACTGTAAAACCATCCTTGAGTCACAAGGACTTGACTTTATATGAAAACTTATTTCAGAAGCAAGGATTTTCTTACTAAGAGGATATTTAAAAATTACTTTAAACTCTTGTTAAAGGATTAATTTAAATAAGAACTTGCCCTGTAGTTTGCAATGTCACATTTTTGGAGTGTTTGTGTTTGTTATTTCATGTAAATAAAAAAGTTGTATCTGATAAGCTAGGGTTTCTCTTATTTCTAAAAGGTGTATTAAAATGCCATAATTAAAGAAGAAAGTATATATGTATATGTGTTTATATATATATAATTTTTTTTGTGTGTGTGGTGGTTGTTTTTGTTTGATTGCTTTTTTAACTTTATTTTCAAATTTAAACTTTCAAAAGTGTTGGAAGAATAGAATAAAGAACTTTTGTATACCCTTAACCCGTATTTACCAGTTTTTAACATTTTGCCACATTTGCTTTAGGTATATATGGTATATTTCCATCTGTCTATCTACCAAAACCAAAAAACAAACTCACTGCTGTCCAGTCAGATCCAACTCATAGCGACCCTTCCTTGGATTTCCGAGGTGGTATCACTACGGAAGTAGATTCCCCAACCTTCCTTCGGAGGAGTGGCTGGTGGGTTAGTAGTCAAGTGCCTTAGGCACTATGCCACCAGAGCTCCTACACACATATATTTTTTTGAACCACTTGAAAATATATATATCATTCTTTACCCTTTAGTATGTTAGTGTGTATTCTTATAAATGAGGATATTTATATATCCATAGTAGAGTTGTTATATAATAGTACAAACTTAACATTGGTATAATATTCTGATTGTCCACATTTCAGTTTCATCAATTGTTCCAATAATGTCCTATAGTAATTTTTCCCCATTACAGGATCTAGTGTAGGATCACACATTGCATTTAGTTGTCATGTCTCTTCCATTTGTTATCTGCCGTCGAGTTGGACTCGACTCATAGGGATCCCTCCTTGGGTTTCCGAGGCACTATCACTATGGAAATAGATTGCCCAACCTTCCTTCTGAGGAGTGGTTGGTGGATTTGAACTGACAACCTTCTGGTTAGTAGTCAAGTGCCTGAGGCACTATGCTACCAGAGCTCCCCTCTTCCATTTACTGTCGAGTTAACTATTAACTCCTGAAGCAGAACTGGGCTTCATGGGGTTTTCAGAGGCTTAAGTTTTCAGATGTAGATTGCCAAGCTTTTCTGCAAAGGCTCTTTAAATCTGAAATAGATATATTTCTTTCATAACATTTTTGAAGAGTCTAGACCAATTACAGAATAATTTTAGTGTATATTTTATATAATTATATATGACCAGAATATTTAATAGAATAATTGGTTCTCTGATTTGTGTTTGATGTTTCATGATAGATTCAGGTTATATATCACCAGTGGAACACTATATAAGTGGTGGTGTGTCCTCAGAGTATCATATCTAGAGGCACGTGATGTGCGTTCATTAGTGTAGTGTTAATTTCGATCACTTTATGATACTATCTGGTTTTTCCATCCTAGAGCTACTGTTTCTCTTTTTTTAAATAATAAGTGATTATTAAGGAGAAAGATTATGTGTACATTTTTATTTTCCTTTATTACAAAATAATTTAGAATGCTAGAAAATATAAATAAGCATAAAGAAGAAAACGTTTTGGTATTTAACATTTTGGTCTTTCATGTACATACAATCTTTTAAAATCAAAAAGGAACAATACTTTACAATTCTTGTTTCTCATATCTGGTAGACATGTTCACTCCCTACTCTATTACAAGGTGCTGTGCTAGATGTTGGGGGATGCAATGAACAAGACAGAAATGGCACTGACAGGCCAGCTGAGAACAGACATTAGGGAACTTAACCAAGGAACTAATCACAGTGGTTAGAAGTACTTCAAAAAAAGTTTTGGATACTACGAGAGCTTTTGTTGTTATGTGCCGTGGAATTGGTTCCTACTCATAATGACTTGTGCAAGCAAATGAAACAGTGCCCAGTCCTGAACCATCCTCACAACAGTTGTTAATTTGAGCTCATGCTTGGAGTCACTGTGTCAATCCATCTCATTGAGGGTCTTCCTGTTTTTCACCGACCCCCTACTTTTCCAAGCATGATGTTCTCTTCCAGGTACTGGTCATTCCTGATAACGTGCCTAAAATATATGAGATGAATTCTTGCCATTCTGGCTTGTAAGGGGCATTCTGGCTGTACTTCACAGTGCATAGAATATATGAAGTCTAAACAGTTGTTAGAAAGTTTCCTATTTCTGACTAGAGCCCAGGACTACTGATTTGGCAAAACCTCACTCTTTGGGAATAATTAAGGGAAAGACCTGTTTGATATATGGGTATAAAATACCCAAATTATCGTTAAGAAACTAACCTCTTGATTTCGAGTAGTAGAGACGCTGCTTAAAAGACTTAGTGGAATGTTTTTTCCACTAACGTTCCCTTGATTTTTTTAGGCAAAGGCAGTTTGCCTTCAGTGGATCTGATGTTGTTGTTGTTGTTAGGTGCTGTTGAGTTGTCTCCAACTCACTGCGACCCTATGCACAGCAGAATGAAACACCTCCCAGTCCTGAGCCAGCTCCATGATTCTTGCTACACTTGAGCCCATCACCACTGCCATCGTGTCAATCCATCTTGTTGAGGGCCTTTCCCTCTTTTATCAACCCTCCACCTTACCGAGCATGACATCCTACAGGGAATGGTCCCTTCTGACAACATGACCAAAGTATGTGAGATGAAGTCTGGCCATTCTCGCCTCCAAGGAGCTTTCTGGCTGCACTTCCTCCAGGACAGACCTGTTAGTTCTTTTAGCAGTCCATGGTACTTTCAGCATTATTTGCCAACACCACAGCTCAAAAGCATCAACTCTTACTCAGTCCTCTTATTCATTGTCCAGCTCTCACATGCATATGAGGTGATTGAAAATACCATGGCTTGTGTCAGGTGCACCTTACCTCAAGGAGACATCTTTGCTTTTCAGTACTTGAAAGAGGTCCTTTGCAGCCGATTTTCCCAGTCATCTGAGGAGCTCTGGTAGCATAGTGCCTAAGGCACTTGACGGCTAACCAGAAGGCTGGTGTGGTTCAAACCCACCAGCCACTCCTCAGAAGGAAGGTTGGGCAATCTACTTCTGTAGTGATACTGCCTCAGAAACCCAAGGAGGGTCACTACGAGTCAGGTCTGACTTGATGGCATGTAACAACAACAACATATGTCATCTGATGTCCTGACTGCTGCTTCCATTGGCATCGATTGTAGAACCAAGCAATGTGAAGTCTTTGACAATTTCAATCTTTTCTCCATTTATCATAATGCTGCTTATAGGTCCAGTTGTGAAGACTTTTGTTTTCTTTATATTGAGATGTAATCCATACTGCAGACTGTAGTCTTCAATCTTCATCAGTAAGTACTTCAAGTCATCCTCACTTTCAGCAAGCAAAGTTGTGTCATCAGTGTGTTGCAGGTTGTTAATGATTATTCCTTCAATCCTGATGCCACGTTGTTCTTCATATAGTCCAGCCTCTTGGATTATTTGCTCAGCATACAGATTGAGTAAGTATGATGAAAGGATTCAACCCCGATGCATTCCCTTCTTGATTTTAAACCATGCAGTGTTCCCTTTTTCTGTTTGAATGACAGCCTCCTGGTCTGTATACAGGTTCTTTATGAGCACGTTAAGTGTTCTGGAATTCCCATTCTTCTCAATGTTATCCACAATTTGTTGTGATCCACACAATCAAATGCTTTTGCATAATCAGTAAAACACAAGTAAACATCTTTCTGGTATTCTTTGCTTTGAGCCAAGACCCATCTGACATCAGCAATGATATCCCTAGTTCCACGTCCTCTTCTGAAACCAGCTTGTATTTCAGGAAGTTCTCTGCCAATATACTGCTGCAACCATTACTGAATTATCTTCAGTAAGATTTTACTTGCATGCGATAATAATATTGTTCGATAATTTCCATATTCTGTGGGATCATCTTTCTTTGGAATGGGTACAAATATGGATCTCTTCCAGTTGATTGGCTAGGTAGCTGTCTTCCAAATCTCTTGGCATAACCAAGTGAGTGCCTCCAGTGGGGCATCCATTTGTTAAACATCTCAATGGGTATTCCATCAATTCCTGGAGCCTTGTTCTTTGGCAATTCTTTCAGTGCAGCTTCAACTTCTTCCTTCAGTACCATTCGTTCTTGAACATACGCCGCCTCCTGAAATAGATGAAGATCGACCAGTTCTTTTTGGCACAGTGACTCTGGTATTCCTTCCATCTTCTTTTGATGCTCCTGCATCATTCAATATTTTGCCCATGGAATCTTTCAGTATTGCAACTTGAGGCTAAAATTTTTTCCTCAGTTCTTTCAGCTTGAGAAATGCCGAGCATGTTCTTCCCTTTTGGTTTTCTAACTCCAGGTCTTTGCACATTTCATTATAGTAATTGGCTTTGTCTGCTCGAGCTGCTCTTTGAAATCTTCCATTCAGCTCTTTTATCTTGTCATTTATTCCATTTGCTTTAGCTACTCTTCCCTCAAAGGCAAGTTTCAGAGTTTCTTCTAACATCCATTTTGGTCTTTTCTTTCTTTCTCATCTTTTTAATGCTTTCTTCATGGATTATGCTCTTGATGTCATCCCACAGTTCTTTTGGTTTTCAGTCATTGGTGTTCAATGCATCAAATCTATTCTTTAGATGGTCTCTAAATTCAGGAGGGATATATTCAAGGTCATATCTTGGCTCTCGTGGACTTGTTTTAATTGTCTTCAAGTTGAACTTGCATATGAGCAGTTGATGGTCTGTTCCACAATCAGCTCCTGGCCTTGTTTTGGCTGAAGATATTGACCTTTTCCATCTCCTCTTGCCACAGATACAGTCAATCTGATTCCTGTGTACCCCATCTGGTGAAGTCCATGTGTATAGCCGCCGTTTGTGTTGTTGAAAAAAGGTATTTGCAATGAATAAATCATTGGTCTTGCAAAATTCTATCATGCAAATCCAGTGTTATTTCCAGTCACCAAGGCCAAATTTTCCAACAACTGGTGATTCTTCTTTGTTTCCAACTTTTGCATT